AAATTATACTTGAAAATCATAAAATCGTCGTAAGTAAGCATTGACTCTCCATTTTTGTTGTGTTCTGCACACGAATTCGGCATGAAAGCGGACTCGTCTCATCGCAAGTATTGAACTGAAGACTCAAACTGTCGTTTATTCCATCGTTTTGTGGTAGCTATGTGCGGATGGATGAATGCTTGCGGAATAGAATAAGCCTTAGGCGCGAGGATAGCAAAAACGTGTTAACACTGGACCATTGGTTGCTTAATGATTCATGGGTAATACACGAAAATGATGATTCTGATAATGATATTGGAGTGTTTTAGACTCATATGGATGATGTGGTTGTTGATCGTAACAGCAGTCCAGAGACGTCGTCAGTTTCATCTGAGAATAATAATCGATTCAGTAATATATCAGCTACGAGTGAGGGCAACGAGTCTATTCCTTGTTCATCTCCACGTTCCGTATGTCGTTCAGTTTTTTGAAGCCTTTCTAATCTCTTCTCTGTTCTCACTCAGCACTGATTTATGACTTGAGGCACATGATTTTCCTTTCATTTCGTCTTCAAGTGAAACTCTACAATAGTGTTCCAATTTCCGGTATTATTTTCGACTAGCTATTGATTCGGAAGTTTGTTTCGCATGTGTAAAGTCGGTTGAAAGTTGGATTCATCGTTTACAGGAATATGGCAGTATTGCATTTTGTAATTTATTTATACATTTGTTAAGATGTATCATTTATAGAGTCAAGTACCGCAGTGGGCTCGAGTAGTGCTGGATAGACGACCGAATGTTTATGATACAGAAGCTTTAAGATTAAAGGTTAATTTCACAGTATAATTCTATTCAAAACAATTATTTTTTTCATTTATTTTAGCAGTTTAAATACTTTTCTATTTTGACAACTCTAACAATGTTGGATGTATGAGTGTTAATTTTAGTTTAATAATCATTTTTCCAATGCATACAACTTCGTTCTGTAATGAAATCTCATTGAAACTTCATTTAGTTTGAGTTTGTTTCAGAAGGGTGAAATAATCAAGGTTATCAAAATACATCCATCGGGTTTATGTGAAGGTATCTTGAATGGTAAGAAAGGAACATTTCCGTTCACATATGTGGAATTTACTAACGAAAACGATAATTGTAATACACCGCTCGCATTTTAAACAGTACATGGAGATGCTGTGAATAAGCAACTGTGTAAAGTGTGAATGATAATCCAGGTGAACCCAACTTTATGAAAAGCATATCAGCATTTAGATGGTAATATCAGTTGTATAATATCCTAGAAATCAATTCTTATTATGTATTTATTTATTCATATATCGACATGTTTTGTTATTCTCGATCTAAACATATTCATATGAACGAAAAGGATCCATTGAATTTACATCATTTCAATTCATTACATTCATTCATCCCGTAATGCTTTTACCAGGTCGGGACATGTGCGATTATGCAGTAATTTTGATCTATTTGCGGTCTTATTAGGGAATTTGGAGTGAGTATTGATTACAGAAACCTTTAGTGAAATCTAAAAATGGTATTCTGATAACTCGATCGAAGGCTTTGATTGTTTCCATATTAGGATTGGTTTACAAGATTGTTGCCTTTGATTTCTCAATAATGCTAAGTAGATTCTGTTTCAATTACCATTGATGTTGTCAACAAAAATCAGTTGAAGTGATGTGAATGGCGAATGGATTTGGTATTTCTTCGGTCTATTGTGCATTATAATGACGTTTGTATCTGCATTTGGTTCATATATGTGTCATTTCCTTCGTTTATATCGTGTATTGTTACGTTTGATTTTGTCTTATTTTCAAATTTTTGTGTATTGTAGATCATATATTATTCTTCATTAGTTGGTTTGAATAGTTTTTCTAGTATTTTAAAGGAGTTTTCTATACACTTTCCTTTGGCAACCTACAAATATGGTGTAATTGAATAGTAAATGTCTACGAATTATTTGTGAAAAAANACCATTGTCCCTTTGAGGTATTAAAACTATTTGTTATTAGATATTATTGTATGTTATCATTATATTATGTTAATACTGTTATTTGACCTTAGCGTTTACTGTTTACGGTAAAGATATGTTATTGTGTTTTATATTTGTATTTGTTTGTGTTTTTGTGTAATGGTGAAAGTCGATCGCCTGCCTTACTGAATATATTCAGATAGCATTTTTATAAAATAAAATCCTTGTATTCACTAACTGCGTGATAAAAGATACGTTGAGAGTTGTCTTGGTTCTGCATTCAGATGAATGCCACATACATGATGAGTTTGATCTCGCTGATGAACTACCATTACAACAAGAAGAATCGCATTGTGGAGATGATGAATTGAATTTGTCAAATATCGATGTGAAGATTTCCTTTCACTACAGAACGTCACAAATATTTTTTGAGTTCAATCAGCGTTGATTAAATGTGACAAAACCGTTCTGATTTCAATTCAAAGATGGCGTATGGGATTGTGTAGGTTACTGGTGAATTATGCTGCATATATGCAGCAGTGAAATTCTTCGATTACGAACGCTTTTAGTTAGATGTGTTTCAAATGTCTAGCATTTTGAGAGTTTCTCTTAATAAAATCAAGTTTTCTTTACGTATACATTCGTTTATTGTGGTGAATGTCCTAGCTATCGTTTCGAAATAGTTCACTTCGACATTCTTCTTTTTTTGATGTTTTGTTTTCAGTGAATCGAAATTAAAAATGGCAAAAAATATGGAGAATACGAGTTATCGAAAGTTGGACGTGGACGCATATGATCCGGAGAAGTATGAAGATAATGAGGATAATGAAACACTAGCGTTGGGTCCTGATGAACGAAACGTCTCGGTGTTACTTCAGAATATGCGACTTCAAGACGCACTCAAAGCAGCATTGATTAATCCTCCTCTAAAGACCAAAAATCAGGTCGATAGTTTCTGTTGTCGACAAATTGAATTCAGTCTGCTGAATGTTGCGCTCTCCAGTTTGCTTCGTAATGGATTAGCTGGATTGGCCGAGCTATCAAACTTTTGTAACGTTGCTGGCCACAGTGCTCGCGATTCCGTTCGCAACCTATTAGCCTTAATGTCTTGATTTTAGCCACCCGGCTGGCTAGAACAACCGAGTAATTGATTAGTTGAAAGCCGTGAATTCTTGGCATAATTAAACCTATGTAGCCAAAGAATGCTGTGTTTGAATATGCAGTTACGATAGTTAGGTGATAGTGTAACGATGGTTTATGCTACAGGCAGTAAAAGATCGTGCCACGGCACTCGTCACACGCGTTCTAACAAATTTCAAAACGTCCGATATCGAGAGTGCAGTGCAGGGTTTGAGCGATGAAGAAGTGGATTTATTGATGAAATACGTTTATAAAGCGATGGATATTCAAGCAGATAATGCCACTTGTCCGTATTTGTTATCGTGGCACGCACAGGTTTGTTCTGTTTTTAAGTTAGGAAATTTTAGCAGTTCCTACTCGAAAGTCAATGGAAAACGATTTCCAATTGCAGTTACTCGCCCGTGGAGGTTACGGGTCGATCATCCGTGTATTTTGCGATCGTCAACGACTTTGAAAGAGTTAACCAAACAAGTGCCATCCAATATCCGTAACATTTTTTGTTTGGCAATATGCATTACTGATTTTAAGATTATTCAGTAGTTGCTTGATATCATCTTTATTCATCAACACATTCGAGTTGCTGTTCACTTTTGCAATGTGCATCCAATATTTGCTGTTTTATTGTTTTTGACAAATTGAATTATTATTCGTACCGTATTACAGTGATATCGTCGTTTTGAATATAAGTTCTCCTTTATATGTATAGTTTCTTCGTCATTAATTATGTTATAATGGAATACGAGATTTATAATCGTAGATGTTTAATGCATTTAAAATTTTAAAAAAGTCAGTTCTATACAGCCCTTCGTGAACAACACATCATATGGTTTATGTTGCGATAGTTTTGAAAGTGATTTCATTACACCGCAGATAATATTTCGAATGCTTCATGCAGCATTGATCAGTTACATTATTGGGAAATTTGAAACATGTAACAGAGCAGAAGCTAATTTCATTAGGTTAATTATTGAACATATGAAAGTATGGAGAGTAGGAAAGCATTCACTGATCAAGTGAATCTGCTGATTTTGAGATTTAGTACGAAGCAGTAATGATATGAGTTAGGGAAAGGTAATCGCAACTTGTGAGACTATTGTCGTATTCAGACTCCTCTTTATTAGTTTCTGAATACATTAGAGAAAACTTTGTTGCATTTTCCAATGAAATGTACTTCAGAAGTTCCCCTTCAGTTTATTTCAATTCAGTCTCTAACATATCAATGTTGATAATGAAAAGAGTACCTTTCCACCGGTAAGAACTATGTGAAGGGAAGAAGAATGTGATGTTTATGACATTGGTGATAAAACAAAGATACAAAGTCACAATGAGTTTCGAATGCTGATTATACCAATAAATAAATTAAACACAGTGAAGAATCGATGGAAAGTACGTGAAGCAATGAAAAATTACATATGAATAATCATTATATAATCAAATCAACGATTTTCTCGTCTAGTAACATCATTGTGCAAAAGGTTTTTGGGTTGGTGCAAGGCAACGTTCTTGCACCGTCATTATGGCCTGTCGAGCATCACTCCAACGATGTGGTCCTTGAATACGATATATATAGGAAACAGCCGGTCCGAAGAGTACCTTCCAAGCCAGTTTTGGATCCGTCAAGAACAATTTCGTCAAGTTTGGTTTAGCCCCGATCAGACTGGCCAGCTCATCCATATATGCGATGTAATTAGCCTGAACAATGCACTCCTCAATGAATGATTCCATTCTGAAGATTCGATTTTGATCAAATGATCGAATGCTTGATTGAGTTTTCAAAAACACAACCATTATCAGTCAGCTTAAGGCTGGATTCGTTTACTTTAAAACTCAATGAGCTTATCGAAATATCCGATAATGTTCAGTGATTCACATTTATTATTCGTTGAGCGTTCAAATGACTGATTCATTTTAAGCAATAATGAAGCAACCTCAATAGTATGACGTCTGCTGTGGACGAACTGTTTCCGCAATTGTGTTTTATAATAATCGATCTCTTGTTGCATTTGATCAAATGACGGTAGGTGAGTTTGTTGCGATAATACGCTAAAAAAGAGTCGAGCCTGCATCTCGGATGCTGGCATTATGGAGCCGAAAGGCTGAAACAATCAAGCATCAAAGTGAATGGTACAGATGCCTTAATTACTAGTAAAATACACAACTATGAGTGAATAATATTGTTAGTGATTCCTTTCTATTGTTGTTTAAGCCTTAAAGCCTCTTATTCTGTTAATAGCTTGATGATATTCACATTCATATTATTATCACTATTATTATCATTAATAATAACAGCAACATCAGCATTAACATTTTCGCATTCAAAACAATAACAACGACAGACCTGAATTAGACCTATAACCGCTAACGTGTTCTTGGAAGCTAACTGAGGTGGATACATAAGTTTGTAAAGATTCACTTCATTGTCCTTCACTGGAATCAGTTCTCCTCTTTCAGCCAATGGAAATTCGAATGAATATCCAGTAGAGACAATCACCTTAAACAATTCTATCGTCTGATTATGATTGCAAACAATTTTTTCTCAATTCATTTCATTTCCTCTTCGTGAACCATTGGTACAAACTCATTATCGCACTCAGTTCTCATCGTTCTGATACGAAACATAGAAGATCAGCCGATAAAGCTAACGACAGAAGTTTTAAATTTCGCCTGAATTTACTCGCACAAGTAATAACAAGCACAACGGTTTTCACAAAGAGTGAAGTTACCCATTTTGAGTAATTTGGAGGTGTCAAAGGGTAATGGAGAGGGTCGGGGAATTGGTATTTTGCGCCATTGTTATTTTATAATAGAATGCCATTGTGATAGTGTTTTTTAACTCGGTTAGTTGATGGCAACACTCTTCATTCTCCTATTTTCTGACTACCGTCAGCTCCTCCAGGCCTAACAAGGTTTTCATTCTTTTCCTTGCTGTTCCGATCGCTCTCATAGCTTTT